CTTGTGTACACGGTCAAGGCTTCTTCAGGGGAGACAGCAAATAAACATACTGGATCACAGGATACGATCATTTAAAATTTTAAGAGCTATGTTCACATACTCCCCAAAGGAGCTGTACCAATATACACCAACTACAGCACTCATGATCGATCCCGCCACTTAAGCGTCTGCCTCCCTTCTTCTAGCAAAGTGTATGTACTTTAAAAATGTTGAAAACAGAACTACCCTATGACCCAGCAATTGCACTACTGGGTACTTACCCTAAAGATACAAACATAGTGATCCGAAGGGGCACGTGCACCCGAATGTTTATAGCAGCAATGTCTACAATAGCCAAACTATGGAAAGAACCTAGATGTCCATCAACAGATGAATGGATAAAGAAGATATGGTATATATACACAATGGAATACTATGCAGCCATCAAAAGAAATGAAATCTTGCCATTTGCGACGACGTGGATGGAACTAGAGAGTATCATGCTTAGCGAAATAAGTCAATCGGAGAAAGACAACTATCATGTGATCTCCCTGATATGAGGAAGTGGAGATGCAACATGGGGGTGTTAAGGGGGTAGGAGAAGAATAAATGAAACAAGATGGGATTGGGAGGGAGACAAACCATAAGTGACTCTTAATCTCACAAAACAAACTGAGGGTTGATGGGGGGAGGGGGGCTCGGGGGGTGGGATTATGGACATTGGGGAGGGTATGTGCTATGGTGAGTGCTGTGAAGTGTGTAAACCTGGCGATTCACAGACCTGTACCCCTGGGGATAAAATTATATTATATGTTTATAAAAAATTTTTTAAAAAATGTTAAAAAAAAAAAAGTTTGCTGAACAGACCACCGAAAAGACAGCATCTTGCTGTTATTTTCACTTGCTTCTCCCTAACCACTAGCAAGGCTGAGCTTCATTCCAAAAGCTTGTTTGGCATCAGTATCTCCTGTGTTTACATCCTTTGCCCAAATCCATTTACCAGTGTCCCTCTACCACCTGTCAAAGCCTCTCTCTCAGTCACTCACGTACCTTCTCCTGAATCTGGCCGCCGATGTTCCTCAGGGCCTCCTGGAAAACTTTGTTCTTGGGTTCCAGGCTCACACATCTCTGCAGGTCAAGGACAGCCTGGTCAAGGCGGCCCAACTTCTCTAGAGCTTGGCTGCGCCGGTAAAGTGCTTTGACATCTCCTCCGTCCTTTTCGATGGCTGAGCACAAACGGGAGCTCTGTCAGCACCCATGAGGCCACCGTCTCCAGGCAAAAGCAGTAGGGAAAGGTCTCGAGGGCCCGAGGAAGGTGGGGGGACAGATGTGGGACTCAGTTTCCAGCCTCAGAAAAGGTGAGGGTAGCTGCAGAGAAGGAAACGCCCGAGGAAGTGGGAAAGAGAGAAGGCAGAAGTGTTTCTGGGGCCAAAGGGAAAGGAAAATGTGAAGGTGCAGTGGCCCCAGAGTCCTTGCCCACCACAGCTCCACACCGCAGCCCACAGTCTCCTACCTTTGGATGCCTCGGTTTCTGCTTTGTCGTAATCTTCCTGTAAGAAAAGGAGCAGCAGCTTGAGAGGCTGGTCGTCTTCCTTTCAGGTCACTAGCTAGGCAGCAGGGCTGTGCTCTAGTAGCCACTCAAGTCCCCACCACCCGGAGGCCCAAAAGACATCAGACAAGTAAGTGGAGGTGGCCTGGGAAGGTGAATATCCAGCCAGGACCCAAACAGCAGCAAGCTGGTCAAACCGGGCCCAGGCAGGGCAGAGGAGGGGCAGAGGAAGAGCAGCCGGCTCCCTCACCAGCTTGAGGTGACAGGCGGCCCGGTTTCGGTGCAGAATGGCCTGGTCCTGGGGCGTAGCACCCAGATCTAGGGCCTGAGTGTAGGCCGTCAGGGCGCCCTCGTAGTCCCCGCATTTGAACAGCTCGTTGCCCTCCTTCCGCAGCTGCTCCACCGCACTGGCCTGTGGAGGGAATGGGTGGAAACGTTGGAGGTGGGCTCAGGCCAGGCTCGGGGAGCTGGGAGACAAGAGACCGGGGGTGACGGGCAAGTCCCATGGAGGGCCAAGACGGGGAGGAGGCGGCCGGGGTACGGTCAGAGCAGGTGGGAAGTGGTGATGGAACGGGAGGACCGGTAGGCACCCCGGGGGCGGACGGCCGGGGCTCGGGGGTGCCTGGACCACTCACAGTCATCGCGGACAGACGGCGTCCAGGGCGCGCGCAGGCGCAGTCTCTGGGGCGGAGTGGGACCACGCTCAGGAATCTGAAGTCGGCTGCCCCGCCCCGGTCTGCGTCAGAGGCGGGGACAGAGGAGGGGCGGGGGCAAGGCGAGAGCGCGCCGGTGGGCGGGGCTCTGATCCGCGCGGCAGATCCTAGTCTGTTCCCACTGGGACCTGCAGGGGGCGCGCAGCGGAGGACCGAGAGGGAAGCCGGCGGGGGCGCCGGCGCTGGCCCCCGCCCCGACCGCTGCAGAAGTGCACGAGGTCGGCGGTCACCAGGGCCACGAGCAGCAGGGTATAGAGGCCCAGGGCTAGGAGCGGACCCCGACCCCTGTAGGAGAGGAGAGAGTATTAGGATGCTGGCCCCAGCCGCGCTCTTGCTGCTGCAGCCTGTCGGTTACAGAGCCCTTGAGAGTCGGAGAAAGCTCGGGACACCCCTCTCCCCCGATCAATGTAGAATTCGTAAATAGAAATTCAGGGGCTCACAGATGCCATGAAGCCATCCGTGGACAGATTTAGTTTTGAAAACCCCTACTATAATGGATGTAATCCACGGACTACAAGATCCTCTCGGTCTGACACCTGTCCCACCTGACCCCAGCCCCACAGTGCACGCAATGGCTCCCCGTTTACTCGCTTACACAGCCCCCTGAACTTCCTTTCACAGAACTGTTTGTAATTGTGTATTCAGGCGATTTTCCGTACGAAGTCTGCCCCTCCACTCGTCTGTATGCTACAAGCTTCCCGCCCCAGGAATGAAAAACAGAGCTTGTTTGCCAGTGTTCCGGGGGTTCTGGGGCTTGGAGTTCTCACCTGAGGATAGGTGGGGGCGGGAGGGCGGACAGGTTGACCTGGTACAAGGCCTCAAATTCAGCCCGGGTGCAGCAGGAGCCCCCTGCGGCCTGCAGGTGGCAGCAGTAGGCTTCCTCCGGGGTATCCGAGAGCCGAGGACAGAAAAAACCGGGGTAGCGGCGGCCATCAGCATCCCAGGTGGTCTGGCACAAGTGGGGGTGGTGGGCCAATGCTGAAGGGGGGGGAGCAAGGGGGCTGGAGACTGGCAAGAATGGTCTGCCCACACCCAATTCCATCCCTCTGGAGAGTGAAAATGATCAGCCCTTATCAAAAGGGCAGACTCCCTTCCTCCCCACTCGCTCCCCAGAGCAGCTCTTACCCTGCTGAGCTGGTAGGGGCCTGAAGAGGGCTGCGTGCACAGGAGACTGGGTACCTGAGAGAGAGGTCGGCTGAGCAAGCGTCGCCCAGCTGAAGAGCAGCAGCAGCCCCGTGGGCAGGCCAGTCAGCAAAAGGCCTAGCCTCCTTTGAAAGCCCATGAGAGGTCACGTCCACCTGAGCACTGGTCTTAGGAAGCCCAACATCTCTCTTTCTAAGCCATGGCTGCAGACAGTAGGAAAATAAAAATCGAAACCACAAGGCCCCTGGGCGCCATGAACACGAACCTGAAGCTTCTACCACAGACCTCTGGAGGCGAAAGTGACTGAGGTTCTATATTCTGTTGGAAAACATGGGGACTGTGTCTCCAGCTGCCTAAGGTTTTCTGAACTGAAGGGGAAAAGTTTCAGAAAACTAGAGCTCAGAATGAGGCATGAGAGAGAAGTCGAGCCATTGGGCTGAAAAAGAGATAAAGCCAGATATGTTTCTCTCTACCCACTCTCAATCTCCAGGCTGCTGTGGAAGCCCTGGGAATTCTGGTCGTCCCATTTCGGGCCCCAGGGGCCTTGGTTACAGCGTTTGGAGCTTCCCTCCCTAACTTCTGCATCATGGCAACCACTAAGACTAGCTGCAAAACAAGGGCGAGTCCTTCCATTAGCTTTTCCCTTGAGCCCTTGTCTGCCCCAGCTACCAGCTAAAACACAGAAGCTACCAGTCTGATTGGAGTACTGTACTTCGCAAACCAGTTCACAGGAAAAGCTCTTCCAGGGTCTCTAGTTCTCTCTTACCCCTTAAACCTCATAGCAGCCATCTGCTGAGACAGGGATTTTCTCTAGAAGGCCCAAGGCCACCAGCCAGCAGTGCTGTTATTCCAGAGTCTGTGAAGACCTGACGATGTCATGCTCCCAGAACAGCATGACAGCGGTTATCATCTGAGGGGTGCACAGCAGGTGTCTAGGGACTGACGCAGGAACAGTGATGGTACAAGAAAGAAATGCAGCACCCGAGAACAAAGAAGACAGTTCTCGCAGAAACATCACTGCTGCCTGGGAGTCTAACCCTGAAGCAGTTAGGCAGGCTGCTAGTGTAAGTTCCAGTTTCCAGAGAGTCAGGCTGTAGGGTCTTCTGGGCCCAAAGGTGAGGCTCCCACGCCCATCCCAACCAGTTCCTCCCTGCAGGGAAAACCATTTTTAGAGCACTTTGAGAATTTTCAGAACATTGACATTGAAGATTGTCTTTTCACAGGACGAGAGGATCCTTCTGGAGGACGTTGCCTTTGACCCTAGGAGGCCAGGTGAATTGCCCTTCCTCCAAGGCCACATAGTCCTCTGTGTGTTTCTGCCCCGGATCCGGCACACTGTGAGAACACCGTCTTATTTCTGGTTTGTCTTCCTCCTTCGCCGAGACTGTGGGTTCCCAGAGAGGCTGGCCGTGTCCCTCTTGCACCCCCAGCGGAGCAGCTCCCCTCACCAGCTGGTCTCTCCGCCAGGATGTCACCTCCCCAGAAACCAGCCTGTCTGGGTCAGACTCCACAGTCACCGGCCTCCGCGGCGCCAGGGGGCGCTGTGGACGCTCTGTCTGGGTTCAAGGGGCTCCTGGGACGTCAGTTGCCCGCCCCACCCGCGCAATGGGCTCCGAGGCGGCGCAGCTGGTGGAGGCTGCGGACTTCGCGGCTCGCAAGCACCGACTGCAGCGGCGGAAGGACCCCGAAGGGACCCCCTACATCAACCACCCTATCGGTGGGCGCACCGCCCGGGGAGCAACCGCAGCGGTGTCTAGGGGGTGGGGACCCGGAAGGGATCGCGGAGGGCCTACGCCTCATTGAGTACCTACATTGTACCGGGCTTTGTGCCGGGCACTTTTCGTGTTTAAGCCTCGCAGCAACGCGGGACGGTAGGCATGATTGTTCCTCTGCACAGATGACACTTAGAGTAAAGGTCCTCTGGCTAGTGAGAGGCCACATCTGGCTCTGCAACACCCGCAGCACGCAGCCTGGGGCTCCCTCAGGTCTGACTTCCTGCTTTGCCCCGTCAGGTGTTGCTCGGATCCTGACCCATGAGGCGGGAATCACTGACATTGCGGTGTTACAGGTAACTCCCCTCGTTCTCTCCTCGGAGGCTAGGGTGGGGATCAGGGACCCCATTCGGCCCTGAACAGCCCTTGCCTGGAGTCACAGGACTAAGGGGAAGCCTGTCCCCAGGCAGCCCTGCTCCATGACACAGTGGAGGACACAGACACCAGCTTGGATGAGGTGGAGCGGCACTTTGGGGCGCAAGTGCGGCGGCTGGTGGAGGAGGTGACAGATGACAAGACTGTGCCCAAGCTGGAGAGAAAGCGGCTGCAGGTGGAGCGTGCACCCCACAGCAGCCCCGGGGCCAAACTGGTGAAGCTGGCAGACAAGCTGTACAACCTGAGGGACCTGAATCGCTGCACCCCAGAGGGTACGCTCCCCCACCTGCTCCGAGGGGAAGGGGGGAGGTGTCCACCTTCTGGAGGTACAGGTTGGTTAGTTCCCCGGGGGAGTGGGGGAAGAGCCTGGGCCTTCTAGTTGGTTCCCCCAGCTAATCCTACTAGCCCACTCTGATCTTGCGCACCGCGGAAGTGCAACAGCTGGGTCAAGGGGACGTTTTCAGGGCAAATCCCAGCGGGAGCTCATCTCGTGGCCCTGCAGCAAGCCCTCCAGGAAGTGGGCAGAAGGCAGTGCTCTCCTGGATGCCATGTGAGCACTTTTCTGTCCATTCTCATGCAGGATGGTCTGAACATCGAGTCCAGGAATACTTCGAGTGGGCAGCGCAAGTGGTGAAGGGGCTTCAGGGAACAAACCGACAGCTGGAAGACGCTCTAAAGCAGCTGTTTAAGGAGCGGGGGCTGACGCTCTGAGCGGTGCTTGGAGCCATCAGGGGCCCAAACTCCAGCCTTGGCCAGGCCAGAAAGATTTCCTGTTCCCGCCTTTCGGTGCCTCTCCATCTCCCTCCCTGACTGGTTCAGCCCAGATACAAGAGGCCAAGAGACACTTGCGTCTTGTCACTCTGAATGTGTCCTGCCAACTCAGCTGAGCCCTGGATTGTGGAAATCAGATGGAGCCCGTCCGATCCTAATGCACTTACTGCCCTTTCTCCAGGCTTGGGTCTGTTTGCTATTCTGTATGAGTGAACTCTGGCCCCTCAAGGACTTGGGCTTCCATAAACACTAGTTCATAAGTCATTATGTAAAAATAAAGCATTTTGGGTGAAGTTTTAAGTTCTCACTGCTCCTTCCCCAGCCTGCCGAATAGGGAGCAGGTAGGCGAGCAGGTAGGTGGGATACCTGTCCTTGGACGAGGCAGGGAACCGACTGCGCGCCCCCAGGGACAGGTCAGGGCCCCGACCCCTCCCCCCCAGCCTGGCTTCCTTATTAGTGAGATAGGCTGTGTAATTACTAGGGTTAGACTAGGTCACGTGTCAGACGGAGCCTGACACGAAGGTGTTCAAGAAATGGTAACAGTCTTCCTCCTTTAAGAAGGTTGGTGGAACTTGTGATCTCTGTCAAATAAATAAACAAAATCTTAAAAATAAAATAAAATTAAAAAAAGAAGGTTGGTGAAAAAAGGAAAAAAGTTGGACGGAATGACAGATGTTTTGGAAAGGAATGCCACCTGCTTACCAGCAACAACAGGACAGGGCCCGTGGGGGTGCTGCGAGTCCCTCACATCCCAGACCGCCCCCAGAAACTCGTCGCCATTCGCAGCCCATCCCAGATCTCAGCCCCAACACGCCGGGTCCTTTGGTTACTAAGAGACACGAACTTCCGGTCGTCTCCGGAAGTGGCCCGAGGCGGCCCCGCGCTCGGAGGCCTGTGGTGGGCGGGGTCTGGGAGAGGCGGCTGCGAGCTCCGTGGCGTGGTTGCGCGGCGGTCCGAAGGTGACGGATTTCTGGTCGCCGCTAGCCACTGAGAGTTATTAGCCCCTTGGAAAGGACACACCTGGGGAAGGAGGAAGTGGTTAAGTCAAAGGCCATTTCGCGCTAGACCACGGTGGTTATTTGCCCAAAGAAGGCTCCCGTGCAGTTTCTGCAGGAAAAAATGGTGAAGGGCCGCAAGAAGGCGACTTAAAAGGAAATGAGGTTCAGGGTAGTCCCACGTAAACGGATCAGGAAAGTGAAAAAATTCAGTGTAATCCTCTAAGGCAGGCCTGGACGAGGTGTGTTTTGGAGAATTTTGGTTTTAGTTTAATAAATTACTTGGGGGAGGCAGAATTACAGGATTTTAAAAAACTTTATTCCTTACACTTAAATATATATATTTACATATATACTTCTATATAAATAATGCTAGTAAATCAATAATTTATCAATAGTATAGTAGTATTTTATTGATAGTGTATTTATTACTATACTATTAATTTATATATGCGAAACCTGCAGTTTATATATTTAATATCAAAATATGTAATCTGCAGATTTTAAGTGGCTTAAAATGAAGGTTTCAGGACATTTAATAAAAATTCCATTACTTACAGAATGCAGGGGTATTTGTCTCACAGGGTGCTCGATGTTGTACAAAAAAACCTTTTCATAGGTGTTACTTCATCTGTTCTGTATAATAACCAGATAAGGCAGTGCTGGGAAGGGATATTCTCATTTTACAGAGACAAAACATGAAGCTCAGGGAGGTGAAAAGACTTGTTAATGGCCAAATAGATGGGGCAATGACAGAGTAAGGACAAGTTCCTTTTTTACCACACTATTGGGCCTTTAAAATTTTTGTTTATTTACCTTTAAAAAAAAAAGATTTTATCTGAGAGGAACGCCTGGGTGGCTCAGTCATTAGGCATCTGCCCTTGGCTCGGGTCATGATCCTAGTGTCCTGGGATCGAGCCCCATGTCTGGCTCCTTGCTCAGCGGGGAGCCTGCCTCTCCCACTCCAGCTCCCCTATGCTTGTGCTCCCTCTCTCACCATCTCTCTCTCTCATAAATAAACCTTAAAAAAAAAAAAAAAAGGTTTTATTTGAGACAGTGAGAGGGAAAGCACAAGCAGGAGAAAGGGCATAACGTCTAAGCAGACTCCCTGGTGAGAGGGGAGCCTGACGCAGGCTCAGTTTCACAACCCATGAGATCAGGACCTGAGTCAAAATTGAGTCCGACACTTAACGGACTGAGCCACGCAGGTGCCCTTAACTCAATATATATTTTTAAACAATCAGAAACTTAAAAGTTGTGAAATTACAGGATAAGGAACTTTTTCCCCTGAAACCATCTGAGATTACAGGCATAACTCCAAGATACTGCAGGTTCAGTTCCAGACCGCGACAATAAAGGGGATAACACAATAAAGGAGGTCAAGTGAAACTTTCTGGTTTCCCAGTGTATGTAAGTATGTTTACACTGTTCTGTAGTGTGCTAAGTGTGCAACAGCATTATGTCTTTAAGAAAAACAGCATGTGTACCTTAATTTAAAAATACTCTATTGCCCAAAAAAAAAAAAAAATGCTAATCATCCTTTGAGCTTTCGGTGAGTGGTGATCTTTTGGCTGGTGGAGGATCTTGCCTCCCTTGATGGCTGCTGATGGATCAGGGTGGTGGTTGCTGAAGGCGGAGGAGCTGTGGCCATTTCTTGATAATTTAGTTTGCCACATTGATTGACTCTTTTCACTAGTGATTTTTTTGTAGTGAGTAAGGCTGTCTGATAGCATTTTACCTACAGCAGAACTTAAACTTTTTTTTTTTTTTTTTAGTAGGCTACACACCTAGCATGGCCCCCAGTGCCAAAGTAGGGCTTGAACTCACAACCCTGAGATCAAGACCTGGGCTAAGATCAAGAGTTGGACACTCAACCAGCTGAGCCACCCAGGCCCCCCTAGAACTTCTCTTAAGTCATCTCTATACCCAACATGGGGCTCAAACTTACAGCCCCAAGATCAAAAGTCACATGCCTCCCCAACTCAGCCACACTCAGTAAAACTTCTTTTAAAATGGGAGTCAATCCAAGTTTCTGTAATATTGTAAATCCTTTCTTGTCATTTCAACAATCTTCATAGTATCTTCACCAGTAGACTTCATCTCAAGAAACCATTTTGCTCATCCACAAGAAGCAACTCCTCATCCATTCAAGTTTAATCATGAGATTGCAGCATTTCAGTCCCATCTGTGGGCTCCACTTTAAAAAAAAAAAAAAAAAGATTTATGAAAGAGAGAGAGAGAGTGAAAGAGCAGGGGGAGGAGGAGAGGGAGAAGCAGGGTCCCTGCCAAGCAAGGAGCCCGATGTAGGACTCGATCCCAGGACCCTGGGATCATGACCTGAGTCAAAGGCAGCCTTTTTTTTTTTTTTTTTAAAGATCTTATTTATTCATTTGACAGAGAGTGATCACAAGTAGGCAGAGAGGCAGGCAGAGAGAGAGGAAGAAGCAGGCTCCCCACTGAGCAGAGAGCCCGATGCGAGGCTCGATCCCAGGACCCTGAGATCATGACCCGAGCCGAAGGCAGTGGCTCAACCCGCTGAGCCACCCAGGCGCCCCTGAAGGCAGCCTCTTAACAGACTGAGCCACTCAGGGGTCCCCAGGCTCCACATCTAATCCTAGTTCTTTTGCTGTTTCCACCATATCTGCAGTGACTTTCTCCACAGACATCATGAACCCCTCAAAGTCATCCATCGGGATAGGAATCAACTTTTCCAAATTGGAATCCTGCTAATGTTGCTCTTTTTATTTCTTTACACAAAGCATGAATATCTTAATGGGATCTAGAATGGTGACTCCTTTCCAGAAGGATTATTGCTTTTGGTGTTATATCTAAGAAATCGTTGCCTCAACGTCATGAAGATTTCCTCCTGTTTTCTGAGCTTCATAGTTTTAGCTGTTACATTTGGATCTTTGATCCATTTCAATTTTTGTGTGAGGTGTAAGATAAGCTTCCAACTTCGTTCTTTTGTATGTGGATATCCAATTTTCTCAACACCATTTATTGAAAAGACTGTCCTTATAGCACTTAGTATTTTGTCCTAAGTATGTATCACGCTGTAAGTTTACTTTTTTTTTAAGATTTTATTTATTTACTTGACAGAGATCACAAGTAGGCAGAGAGACAGGCAGAGAGAGAGAGAGGAAGAAGCAGGCTCCCCGCTGAGCAGAGAGCCTGATGCAGGGCTCGATCCCAGGACCCTGAGATCATGACCTGAGCCGAAGGCAGAGGCTTAACCCACTGAGCCACCCAGGTGCCCCTACTTTTTTTTTTTTAAACTTAAATCATCTCTACACCTAACGTGGGGCTCCAAAATCAGGAGTTGCATGCTTTACTGACTGAGCCAACCAGGCGCCCCAGTACCTTTCTTTTCCTTTAGCAATGCTTTGAGATCTATTCATGTCAATGCACATGAGTGTTTAGCTCATTCCTTTAAACTACTTTCTAGAATTTCATTATATGAAGGGACAGTATTTCTTTATGCATTCCCTTTTTTATTATCTATTTGAGAGAGAGTGAGTGAGCACACAAGCAGGGGGAGCAGCAGGCAGAGCAGAGGAGAAGCAGGCTCCCCACTGAGGAGGGAGCCCGATGCGGGACTTGATGCCAGGACCCTGGGATGATGACCTGAGCTGAAGGCAGACGCTTAACTGAGCCACCCAGGCGTCCCTACACATTCTCTTAAAAAAAATTATTTAAGCTCTGTGCCCAGTGTGGGGCTTGAACTCACAACCCTAAGATCAAGAGGTATACCCACACCACTGGCTTATGCATCCTGGATTTTCGCTTTTCCCGAAGAACACCTTTGTTCTCCCACTGAGGTTTTGCACACTGCAAATTCTTAGCCTTTGCGTGTTTAGGTCATTTCTCCCTCCCTCTGAACGGGAGTGCACCTGCCACCAGATCCCGGTTTGGCAGTCATGTTCCCTAAGTCTGAAGGCATTATTTCATGGACTCCAGGGATCTATGATGCTAACTAGATGTCTGCCAGCATTCCGGTGGTCTTTCCTTTTGGTTTCTCTCTTGTTGTAGGGATTTTTTTGTTTTTGTTTTTTTTTTTTGCAGTTATGTGTACAGGAGGATTTTTTTTTAAACATCCCTTTCTTGGAACTTGGTGAGTGCTTCCATTTAAGGACTCCTACATATCTTCCTTTCTGAAGAATGCACCTGCTATCCTTTTGACGGTTTCCTCTTCCCTACTCACTAGTCTCTCCTAAGAGTGCTGCTAAATGCTATGTCATTGCTTCCAAGTCTATCTGCCTTTTCTTCTTTCTTTGTATTTGAGAGAGAACACGGGAGCTAGGGGGT